GGAGACAGATAGTATGTCGACACCATCCGCGATCGCATCATCAAATGCCGCTAGAATATCATCGTCACTACAATCACTCGGCCAACATACTTTGTACACCGCAATACGTGCTGATGGGACCCCTCCTCTTGCTCTCCCCGACCCCAAACCAAATAGGCTTGCTTTGCTAACTAAGTTTCCTGCAGCCGTTGATGCAGTGTGGGTTCCATGACCACCCGAGTCTCGTGGAGACTTGATGTCACCTTTGACGAAGGGTTCACTATTGCGGTAATACCGTGCTCCAATGATTTTACTGTTTCAACCGTAGCAACAATACGTCAATCAATTATCACATAAAACGGATAATTTTTACATTTATTATTGTTGAATTATAAGTCTATAGCTGATTAGTATTGGTAAAATAAGATGAGTTTTATTTGTGTATTCACTTGAGCATATCTGCCAAGTGTGAGGTCAAAATAGTCATGTGTAGTGTTTCTAGAATTGAGACAGATGGATGGCTGAGATTCATTGTGGCTTGTGTGAATTCAGCAAAGAGCCAACGGTCATGTAGTACATGCTGTATGAGCTCATTCTTGCAGATAGAAATATATACAAAAATCGTTTGCTCATGGACTGAGTGAGTAAGCAGAGTATTTTTCATTATACTCTATTCTTCCTTTCTTCTCTAACAGACCATTCGCAAAAACCCAGCTAGAATACCAAAAACTCTAACAATTATCTAGCATTATGACAGGTATAGTGATCACTTAAACTGAATCGTCAAAATACGTGCATACATATTCGTCATCTGAGTATAAATTATACAGAATTCAGTGCAATACATAAACTAGTCATCTAAGAATAAAAACTGGTGTGATTAAACATGAATGCCATGCAATACACATGCTTTACCTTTGGAGATCATGAGTTTCAACTCGTATCAATCTTGAGATGACTATGTCTTAATCTATCTAAACCTAGACTAAACATTTGAGCTCGAATAAGATTTAGAAAATTCCAAGCAACAATACAACTTCGGCTAGGAATGCCAATACTAGCAAATGTAGAACCTAAGCATCCCTAGCTCAAGCAATTATACTTTTTCACTCATTGAATAATTAGGTCATGTTTGATAACCATTTCAATTTTAGTTCTTAGTTTTCATTTTTTGAGCTAGAGTATAGACGAAAATGAAGTGATGATGAGATTGCGAGACAGGATGAGAGGGGAGGATGGGAGGGAGGAGAAGAAAGGTGAAAATAAAAACTTGAAAGTGTAAACAATTTCAAATAGATATCAGGTTTTTGTTTTTGTTTTCACTTTTTTTTTACTTCTCCCTCCCATCCTTCCCTCTCATCTTCCCTCTCAATCTCATCTCCACTATCATCTCACTTCCATTCTTTCCCTCTTTATCCTACATACTCTAGCACAAAAAATAAAAAATAAAAAATAAAAAATAAAAAATAAAATTGAAATGATTATCAAACGGACCATAAATATATAGAAGCCAGTTTTAAACTAAAATGGTATATATATATAGCGGAGAATTGCATGCCTCTCTGGTATCCGTATGAGTAGCAGAATGAGTGACATCTACTAGAAGAGTACATGTGAGACTGAGAAGGGGAAACCACACTACATGGAAAAACCCTTTTCGCGACCATGAAACTAAATCCATTATAGGGGGTCTCACTACAATACCTAGAAAACGTACTACTTAGAAAAGATGGGGCAAGCTCATCCAAGAACATCATGTATTTATACTAAGAAGTAGCCATGCGTTTCACATGTTTGCCTCGATCCTAGCCGTGCATTACAAATCTAATGAATTCGTACATTTGATCCCACCCATATCCAAAAGTGCACTACTCTTTTGTTCACACACCTTTTGAATTTGTGATGTACAGTTAAGATTAAAAGGCAAGCGAAGGGACAAGCGCGCATTAAGAACCGGTAGAGGATCCGAATCCGAATCCGAAATTTTGTGATCAAAGTCTTCCATATCCACTCACACCATATCTTCCTTACCTTAACTATACCACTTCTTTAATGTTGGATTCCATATTTGAAGCACCTGACTTTACTCAAATACTGAAGATTGATTGCATTTGGCACAGCATAAAGCAAAAAAAATGCACTAGTCTAATCGAACATGTTTTGGTATATTTGACTATTTAGCTCAAAATATTGAGTTTTCAAAAGAGAAAAACTAGAGACTGAAAGAAACTTGTTTTGACTTATTCGGAAATTGATGGGTTTAAGCTTTCCAAAACTAACCTAAACCCTTTTCAAACTCCGCACAGAAATTCCAAGAACATTTCACATGGTTGCTTTGATCCTAGCCGTGTAACAAATCTAACATTTGATCTCACGCGCTCTTCAAAAAATGCAATACTCTCTTTTTTGTTTACATACAGTTTTGAATTTGTGATACACGATTAAGATTAAAAGACAAGTAAATAAGAAACATATTAAGAATTTATGGTAAAAAATCTGAATCCGTAGTTATTTATTTCATTCTAAATTAGGCTTTTGATCATGCTCTTCCATGCACTCACACCATCATCTTCCTTGACCCTAACACTTTTTAGAGGCTTTCTGAAAAGCACTTCTTCAAAAATGTTAGAGGCTGTTAATTTTTGGGGTATTTGACTGTTTGTTAAAGTACTTTCATCCTTCATGTAGCTAAAAATTTAGTTTTCAAAAAAGAAAAGCTCAGCTTGACTTAGGTAGGCATGGATTGATTTAAGATTTATATATTGATCTCCCAAAATTTTGGTTTAGTCTTACTTTACCCCTCAAAATTAAACTAACCCCTTGATCATACTTTTGTGTTTCCCTACCATTGACTCCGTTCACAATGATAATGGACTCACTAGTGCTTCTCAGCTCAACCACACCACTACCAAAAAGCAAAAGCACTTTCATAATGATATTGAGGCTATTGAAACTCTTATTGTCGTTGAAACATATATTTCAAAAGATGAAGAACAACAATTGGATTCCTCTGAAATTCAAGGCATGGATAAATCCGTATTTGGAGAAGAAACTAATTCATATAAGGAGTTTGACTCTCAACTGACATATTCTAATCTTGTTTATGGAATTAATTATATGATTATTCCATCCAAAATGAGTAACTTCAAATTCTACAAATTGAAGAGTTTATCTACACATCAAGTTCTATGCCTACCCAGGTTCGTTTTAACGAGAACACGAGGTCGAGTTCTTTACAAGTGAAGGGGTTTGATGTAGGACGAAATATGGGTCAATTATGGTGTGAAAAATTAATTAACATAAAGTGGCTCAAGGTTGGAAGGAAATCGTGCAAGAGAGGAAAATTCCAATTAAATGTCAATTATGGCGCTAGGAAAAGAAGGAAGGCGTATTGTTGAGATTTTCTAATTGATTGAGGAAGTTTGAAACAATTATGATTATGTCAAGATTTGTATTTAATTTAATGTTTTATTTTATATTTTGAAGAATAAGTTATCTATTAGGATATTATTTTCCTAATATGATTTTTATTATTTTCTTGTTAGCTAAGTTTAGGAATATTCTAGAACGTAGGGTTTCCTATGGTTTTAGGGTTTCTTTGTTTTCTATTTAAGCCAACTCATGGCATTGTATTTGTAAGTTTATTCATCTTATTTTCAATCAATATATTTGATGTTTACTCAATTTTTCTGGTGAATTCCAGTTTGTTGGTGGATTCCGACATTGTTACTTGTAGGGTTATCGTTCGATCTCCTTATCCTTTATATCTCAAACTGGTGGATTCCGACATTGTTACTTGTAGGGTTATCGTTCGATCTCCTTATCCCTTATATCTCGCTGTGTCAGAAAGGTCATGGGTTCGAGTCCTAGCATCCATGTAGTAAGTGTGAGTTTAGTATGTTATCGCCCCACTCAACAGGAAATGTCCTTAAAAAACAAAAACAACGACAACAATAGGGGATGAGATTTGCATGCTATCACTCCAAACAAGTACAATAAAATAAAAGATACATTTCAAGTTTCTGCATCACAGTGAAGTCTCATCACTCATAATCGATAGATATATTAAATATTAGAGAAGGTGGCATTTGATCCTCAGTAGTGCAATTTGCTTTTTCTTATTCTTACATCAATACAGGATTACATGATCCAAGCACCACTTAATATATAGCATAGACAACAATGGGGCTCCTGACTTGGAAAGCACCATCATCCCACACCAGAGAAGCAGAGACACTGGATTTGTGATGAATTGACCCTTTTACCGTGACCTGAAAGGATAGCTTCTGCCCAAGAGATGAGAACGATAGAATGCTTGGATTAACTTTGATTTCAAGTCCTTTGGTTGCACCGATCATTTTAGCTTTATATGTAGACCTTGGTGATCCAACATTTGTGGCTGTCCTATTGAAAACCCCACTGATGGAGTTTGGATTAGAGGAGGAAAGTGCAAAAGAAGGATAATTCAAATTATCACTGAGTGCTCCATAATTAGTTTTTGACGAGCAGCTACTCTTGTGCCCGGTAATAGATTGCAATAATTTGGTACTATAGCCTTGTGCACACAAAAATTCTATGTAGTCCAGTTCAGTAGCATCATATACCAAACCAGGATATGGAGCCCTAACGGGGTCAATTTGGCCAGCTCCGTATGCAAATTCGGCTTCAGGGTTAAGATCGGGACTCAGGGGTTTTGCTGCAAAATCGTTACAAATAATCCAAGATATACATGGTTAGGCCATACTAAAATTGTAAGTAATTAAAATAATTGTTCTTCCATAATAACTTATCACGTTTATACACAGCCCTACCGGTGGTGATAATAGCGGATTGGATAGCAGCAGGAGACCAATTGGGGTGAAATGATTTGACGTATGCAGCTACCCCAGTGGCATGTGGGCAAGCCATTGATGTCCCTGAGACGAAATTGTGTGACTGGATTAGGACCCCTTGATGAGAAGGATGGCACATATGGGGACAGTGTGTCAATATCCTCAGTACTTTTAAAAATTGTTGCAGTTGGGTTCCTACAAATTAATCATTACAATATTCAAAATTTATTAACCTCATTCTGATCTGGTTTAGCTTAAAAGTTGCAAATAATATTTGTGTTTACCTTGTTGAGTTAATGTAATAGTAAATGCTGTTACCACTATCCAAACCAAGGCAAGAGGCAGGCATGGGAAGAGGGTCAAGCACATCTGCAACAGGTCGGCTTTGCAAAATAACTCCAACTGCACCTGCAAAATAAGCCCCATACCCAGTCGTCCCATCGCAAAGAACAATCTTGCCCTTCACCAAATTGTGGTCTAACGTGCCTGGTTCGCATGTCCTGTACGGTACCACCATACATATTATTATCAGACTGAAACTATATCCCATAAATATTACACAACGTGTATAATTGTATTTACTTAGATGTAGACTCGTCGTAGCCTGCTGTCCTATTGGGTGCGTCTCCAGCATATATCAGAGGATAGAACTTGCCCTTGAGGTCAAATGTGTTTGTTACAATTCCCTATATACCCCAATGAAGCAAATTAATATATTAATTCAATTGCTTAAGTGAGGGCAGGTTAATTAGCTATAGATTCTATTAATTGTACCTCATAGATTTTTTGGTTACCCAATTGGACCTTGGTAACAAACTCCCGATCTATGGTGGTTGCAGCCACAGAGAGGCACCATGGCGCAAAGTTTGCGATGGTCTTGGGGCCTGGACCGTTGTTCCCAACAGCAGTGGAAGTCAGAATTCCTTTTCTTAAAGCGTGAAAGGCTCCAATGGAAATTGAGTCCCTGAAATAATTGTCCTCAGGCCCTCCGATGGAGACAGATAGTATGTCGACACCATCCGCGATCGCATCATCAAATGCCGCTAGAATATCATCGTCATTAATACCATCCGACGAACCTACTTTGTACACAGCAATACGTGCTGATGGGACCCCTCCTCTTGCTGTCCCTGACCCCAAACCAAATAGGCTTGCTTTGCTAACTAAGTTTCCTGCCGCCGTTGATGCCGTGTGGGTTCCATGGCCATACAAGTCTCGTGGAGACTTGATGTCATCTTTGACGAAAGGTCTACCATTGTGGTAATACCTTGCTCCAATGATTTTTCTGTTTCAACCATAGCAACAATACGTCAATCAATTATCACATAAAACGGATAATTTTTTCATTTATTATCTACCAACATGATTGGTCTAGTATATTAGCCTTACTTGTTGCAAGTAAAATTGGATGAGCCTTGGCATGTGCCTTTCCATTTTTTGGGTGGTGGACCAAACCCAGCATCACTGAAGCTGGCAGATTCCGGCCAAACTCCCGAGTCGATCATCCCAACGATGATATCGCTTTCAATAGTGCTTCTCTTCACGTTTTCATGAAACCCGATGAAGTTCCATGACCTTGTTGTGTGGAGCTTCTTCTTCCCACTAGGGAAAACAGACACCACACCAGCCATTCCTATATGTATATATACACACACACACAAGCTTCCAGTTAGATGTAAACTTATAATGGTCAGTACTTCTTATGCAAATTGGAAAGAAAGCTAGATCCACAACCAGCCATTTTCTGAGCTTCTTCCTCGGTTAGCTTTGCAGCAAAGCCATTGAAGCTTCTCTTGTAGCTGTGCAGTAGGAGAGGTTCTTGTCCAATATTGCTGAACATAAACTAACTCAAGTTAGGAATTATATAGGGTCTAGCTATAGTTTAATAAATTGCAAATCATGTCCTTGTAATGTTAATTATAGTTATATAATTGTCACCAATTAATCATCCAGAAAACTCATTAATCCTAACAAAAAAAGGCAGTAAACTTATATTATATATGTGATAATTAACCTGCTGCCAACTACGTTTTGAAGCATGTTTACATGAAGAGGCAATGTGGTAGTGGTGGGAATGTCGAGCTTTGGCTTGTCCCCCATGTACACAATATAAACCTGCGATTAATATAATCATAATTAACGTTATTAAGGGTCCGTTTGATAACCATTTCAATTTTAGTTTTAAATTTTCATTTTTTGTGATAGAGTATAGAGGAAAATGAAAAGGAGGAGTAACAAAAGTGAAAACAATTTGAAATAGATTTCAGTTTTTAGTTTTTATTTCCACTTTACTACTCCCTCCTATCCTCTTCTCTCAATCTCTTCTCCACTCTCATTCTCACTTCCATTTTCCCTCTTTTTCCTCTATACTTTGGCACAAAAAATGTGGGGGGGGGGGGAGAGGGGGAGGTGAAGAGGAGGAGGGGAGAGAGAGGGAGAGAAAGAGAGAGAGAGAGAGAGAGAGAGAGAGAGAGAGAGGAGAATTGCATGCCTTTCTGGTATCCGTATGAGCAGAATGAGTGACATCTACTAGAAGAGTACATGTGAGGCTGAGAAGGAGAAACCACACTACATGGAAAAACCCTTTTGGCGACCATGGTACTAAATCCATTATGGGGGTTCTCACTACAATACCTAGAAAACGTACTACTTGGAAAAGATGGGGCAAGCTCATCCAAGAACATCATGTATTTATACTAAGAAGTAACCATGTGTTTCACATGTTTGCCTCGATCCTAGCCGTGCTTTACAAATCTAATGAATTCTTACATTTGATTCCACCCATATCCAAAAGTGCACTACTCTTTTGTTCACACACCTTTTGAATTTGTGATGTACAGTTAAGATTAAAAGGCAAGCAAAGGGACAAGCGCGCATTAAGAACTGGTAGAGTATCCGAATCTGAATCCAAAATTTTGTGATCAATGTCTTCCATATGCACTCACACCATATCTTCCTTACCACTTCTTTAATGTTGGATTCCGTATTTGAAGCACCTGACTTTACTCAAATACTGAAGATTGATTGCATTTGGCACAGCATAAGGCAAAAAAAATGCACTTTTAACAGAACATGTTTTGGTATATTTGACTATTTAGCTCAAAATATTGAGTTTTCAAAAGAGAAAAACTAGAGACTGAAAGAAGCTAGTTTTGACTTATCCGGAAATTGATGGGTTAAGCTTTCCAAAACTAACCTAAACCCTTTTCATAGCACAGCATAAAGCAAATAATCATTTCACATGTTTGCTTCCTAGCCGTGTATTACAAATCTAACATTTGATCTCATGCTCTTCCAAAAATGCACTACTCGCTTTTTCGTTCACACAGTTTTGAATTTGTGATACACGATTAAGATTAAAAGACAAGTAAATAAGAAACATATTAAGAACATATTAAGGTAAAAAATCTGAATCCGTGGTTATTTATTTCATTCTAAATTAAGTAGGCTTTTGATCATGCTCTTCCATGCACTCACACCATCAT